TGTACCTGTTCACTATGGAGGGAAGGGAGGTCTATCATAACCATCCATTGGGTTCTAAATTACTTTCCTATATACCGACGCCACTGAAGCGTGATGTAAGAAATAGGTGTGGGTGTATGACAGTAACAGCTCACCACATTCTTCAGAACACATAGAATAAGATATTGTCTGCATCTGATGGAGCTGAAGACACTATTTGGCTAATGCAATGCTTTTACTTTAAGATCTTTCTTTGGACTCAGCGGGTAACAAATAGTGCAAAATGTGGACGCTTAAATATTCATAAAAATATTAATTGTGTAGGTAATACATTTCCCTTCTATTATCATACATTCACTGGATATCTTAGAGACCTTAATTTAGAATTTTAATGTCTTGCAATTAGCCACAAGGGGTCTGGCTTTACTTCAGATATTCTTCAGTCATATTTTAAAGTTTTGTTCCTTCCCTTCTACAGAATCAGGCCTCCACTGAAATCTGATGACCAAGAATTAACACGGCTGACAGCATCTTTACCTACTGAGTTGTAATTCTTTGGCATTCTACAAGAAACTCAGAAACTATCTGTTTTTAAAATTTTATTTCAAGTCCTTGTTTTGTTTAGTCTTGGAAATAAAGTTCTAGCTCTAATACATTTGCTTCCTGTGAGATTCTTCCACCGTAAAAAGCAAAATAAGGAACATTTATTGTTTCAAATTCAGACTAACTTCCTGTTTTCAAATACACAGCAACATTTGAACATCAGTTAATTCCATCCTAAGGTCTCGATTCATCAAGGTATCTAAACACATGCCTAGTCCCACTGACCTCAATAGGACTATTCACATGCATCAGGCTGCTCAATCAGGACTACATGATTCTTAGGAAATCTTCTCAGCCATGCAAAACGTTTCTGAGTTCAACTTTATCTTGAGCATTTTCAAAATTTCAGACATACTTTACTGTTAACCCACTGCACTTCTGTATTTTATTTTATTTGGACTTTTATGATTTCTGTCTGGCATTTTATTGAGCATTGGTAAAAATTAGTCTACATAAAACATGACAGAAGCAAGGGAAAAACTAGATATCAAACCGAATCAAATATTGTAAAATATGTTGTTTAGTGAGAGATTCACCTCATCACAGCCAGATTGGATGGATTCAGGATCACAGTCATTAATAAGAGGACTACTAAATCTGTATGCCACTAAAACAGAAGGAAAGTTAATAATCCGGTATTTGAACAAGCATACTAATTTTTAAAGCCATGGGTTTTACAAAACTACTCAAGCTAGGACTTTGCTTGGAAACAGCGAACAGAGATTGGTTGTTATAGCCATGATATGGTATTTAAAGACTACGTATGAGAAGGGAAAGCCAAAAATGCCTAATATTGTTTTATCTGCTGAAGTAACAGACTCAGTCACAACAGGTGTGCACATTTAATACAGTATCGCAGGGAGATCATTAGGAGATTAAAAGAATTAGTAATAGGATTAAGCCAAAGTGCTACCAGTTGGAATCTCTCCAGAGATTCAATGATTTGCTAAAATCGTATGAAATTTTCCATTGGTCTGAAAGATGACTTCAGTAAAGTGCTGTATCATTTTTACAATAGCCATAACTATGTACAGTAAGAGATATTGCTAGCAATTTAGCCAAATGTAAAGACAATGTGCCACTATAAAAATGCAAAAAGGATGGGGAGATTTCTTGCATTAATTCCCACTTGTCTTTGCATTTACATTTCAAGCTAAAGTTTTTAAAATATCTGAAGGAAGGAAGATTATCTTTATTCATGACATACCTGTCAAAGGTATAATAGTTCCTTTCTTGCAACTGTTGTTCTTTTTTATAGCTTGTTACATTAAAATACAACCCCCTGACATATTAAATATTGTAATTTACATGGTTAATATGTTATAATATGAATATTTATAATAGCCTAAGAATATTATAAATATATATTATAAATCACCTTTTATTATCTGTGAATATTAAACTTTAAGAACAAAAGGGGAGATTTTCAAAAACACAAATGGCAGGCATTGATCTTCAACTGAATGTCAGTGGGAGTCAGAAGCCTACCTACACTTTGTGCCTTTCAGAACTCCCCAAATGCCAAACTACCACCAATACAAACATGAACAGAAAAAGAAAACCACCAGGTTCCTGACTAGCTAAAATAATATGATAATTCTATAAAAACCAAAGGAACAGAAAAACAATCTCTGATGTCAGAAAAATATTAACACTCTCTCAGCAGTTTATAAACAACAGACCACGAGACAGCTTTAAAACCAGCAACAGAGTTCTACTGACATTTGAGAGTTTAATTTCAATTGAATCCTATACGCCCAGTGTGAGAGAGAGTCTTAAAAATATTTTTTAAAAACCAATCAGATGAGAACATTTGTATTCCACTACTTGACACATGAATTAGCAACAAGAGAAGTGCAGGTCTGTCACATAGTAAGTATCCTCTGAAGTCGGTTTTTGTTCTGTGTTTCCAAATTCTGTTCTTCTTCCAAAGATGCCAGTGGGGGAGCAGTAAAACCTTTGCAAATGTATCAGAAAGCTATCAAGGACCCTGACTGCATCTTTAGAGTTGTTGTTAAAAACAACTGAGGAGAAGGATGAAACTGGCACTTTGCAGCACAATTTACTGGCATCTGGGGGGAACTGGTCAGATGGGCAGACACAGCAGAGGACAGGCATTTGGGAACCAGGTGATTAAAGTCTCCTTCTCCAGCAATAACACAATCATGAGGATGGTAGCGATTTGGCAGGTCAAAAGAGAGGTACAGATCCTGCTCACCTGGCAGAAGAGTGTAAAGTAGCTACATGGCAGGAAGAGATCCCTTCCACCCACTCATCTGTCCTCAAAGGTATGAAGAGTGAGTGGTAATTGCCACAAACTCAGGATTTATTAAACCCAGTTGTTTTTCAGTGACTGTTTCTTGTTATCTCAGTTATATTGCTTGTTCCAACTGGACAGCTGTATTATGCCCCGAGAGATTAGGATGGAAGGTCTTGAAAATGCATATTCTGTAGAACATTACTCTGCTCTATGCTCTCTTCAGCTTGGTCTACAGATACCATATGTATTTATAAAATTGATGCACTTCCATGTTGGGTTCTTTGTAATTACACTTTATTTTCAGCTATTAGATTTATCAAAGCAGCTAGTTCTTACCAAGAAAAGAATGGACACTTGCTTTCAAGATCATGTACTTGGTGAGGATGGCTTTATAGTCCAACAGCACTCAAAGAGTAAGGCTCAAACATCCTCAGAAAGTACACCTGTGATATGGCCAAATTCTGTTATGAGAGTACACTTTGCTATGGACATCGCTATGCTGCTGAACATGGTTATATCATGAAAGGGAAGTAGGTAAGCAGGTGTTTTGATGAGTGCTGGTTCCTCAATACCCTTGGAAGACTTATTCTGTCATAGGTCAAAAACCTCAATTGTGACAGCGCTGCCTGCAGTTTGGCCTCAGCATTCCTTCAGACTGTGACTAAATCTCCTCAAGTTGGCCCAATATAGACCACTGTGTTATTTTTAACTGCTTATTTTGAAATAGTTGCAGCCTTCATTTACACCAAAAATAGATCTCTCTCTTCCTGGTGTGCCTGAGGCAACATGCTTTATTTTTAATTGTATAAGCACCTATCAAGTTTGTGCAGAAACACTATTAATTTAAATTTTTTTTTAATGTGGGTATACAATTATCCACCAATACTTTGAAGAAAAAGTATTACAGATATTTCCCCCCTTCTGGAGAGGATAAATAGACGTGTTGATAAATCACCTCTTTTATGGAATATTGTACAGTGTTAGACTGGAAAGGAAGCATGTAAAACTCTCCTTTGTCATGATGTCCACAAAAATCTTGACAACAGTTCGGCTGCTGGTGCTCTGAGACTACTGCCTTTTATGCTGACCAATATTTCCTCACTGCTTCCTTGCACTCCCCTGTTGATCTGTCTGTATCCATTTGTTGTCTCCTGTCTTACACTAGAACTGTTTTTGTGCTGTGTTTGTACAGTACCTAGCACAATGGGATCCTGTGTCTATGACCAGGTTCTTAAGTGTTATGATAATACAAATAACAACAGATTAAACCACAGGACTTGGATTAAACCTCAGAAGAGCTGTGTTCTATTCCCATCATTGCCAGAATTCCTTTCACAAATCACTTCATTTTGCCTCTGTTTACCCATGTGTACAATGAGGAGAATAACTAATTAACTGAAGTATATAAAGCACTTTAAAATCCAGGGGTGCAAGATGCTGTAGAAGTACAGAGTTATTATTACCAAACAAAAGAAACGAACTGTGGTGGTTACAACTATAATGAAAGAAAAGAACCTCACCATTTTCTGTTGTTTATGACAGAGAAAATAATACAACATCGGAGTTGTAGGGCAAAGTTTTAAGAGATATTACCAACATAAAAATGAACAGTATTTTACCATGTGGACTTTTATACAGAAGCATTTTCAATAGTTGGCAATAACTCTGCTATTTTCTAACCTATCTCCTCTTTTTCAGATGCAATAGGGATTAGAAAAACTGTACACGACAGTAGAACCTCAGAGTTACAAACACCTCGGGAATGGAAGTTGTTCGTAACTCTGAACGAAACGTTATGGCTGTTCTTTCAAAAGCTTACAACTGAACATTGACTTAATACAGCTCTGAAACTTTACTAGGCAGAAGAAAAATGCTGCTCTCTCTCTTTTTTTTTTTTTTTTAGCAGTTTACGTTTAACACAGTATTGTACTGTATTTGCCTTTTTGGTCTCTGCTGCTGCCTGATTGTGTACTTCCAGTTTCAAATGATGTGTGCGGTTAACTGGTCAGTTCATAACACTGGTATTCATAACTTTGAGGGTCTACTGTACTTAAAATACTCTGTAAATCTGAAGTTTTAAGGTGTAAACATTATGGCTATAAGTAAGCTATAGCAAGAGAATATATTCATCACAAATCATTTCTTTCAGTGCTTTTACCTGCAGATGGCTGGAAAGCATTCCTGAAGTCCCTTTTTTTTGACTAAGGATCCTTCAAGGCAGTACATGAGGATGTCCATAACCTTGGAAACAAAAGTTACAACTGTTTAACAATGTTTGATTTTATTGTTCATAACAATTTAAATTCTGAACAGTTATAGAGTTTTCTAGCTCTTGTGTTTAATTATATTTTTGGTACCTAAGTATAACGTGTTATCTGCATAAACAAATCTGACTGTATTGCAGCATATTGGAATTTGCAATGGCAATGGTACTGGGAATTGCTGCAAATACTCATTCACAGTAACAGTACACATTTTACAAAGCTACAAACTACAGGCAAGTGTCTGCTATTGAAGGAACACCACATTTTGTGCTAGTTATATTAAGAGGGAATGTGAACAGGAACACCAAAGTTAAGGAAATCACATGGTATGGTGGATTCTTTAACAATGTCCTTCAGCCTTAATGAATATGCATCTGAAAGACAAAACTTTCAACATCCCTCTTCAGTCCATTCAAAATGCTGCTGTTACAACCACATCCAAATTGCCAACAAATTCTTTTACTAGCTTGTCCTTACCAATTAAGTCCTACCCAATTCTCTGCTCTGGTCTCTTCAACCCTTGACACCTTCACTTTGCCCAAGCTACAGGATTAACTATTCCATTTTGTCCATCTCCATACATCCTTTTATGTAGCCCTCCTATCAGAAACCCTCTCTGCAACCCAGTCTTCAATGCACCCACTTAACCCTTTTCAAGGGCCTCCTGAAAATACATTACTTCCCAGCCCAAGTCCTGCCCTTAAAAAAGAGTTTACCTAAAAACAGATCGAGGAAAAAATTAGAACAAGGTGTGCTAAACATCACTGCTCGCTGATCTCGCTTTTGCTGCGCCATACCCAGTCATTTGTATATCTGTTTTCTGCTCCTTTTTAAGCCCTTTGAGACAGGGACAGAGTCTTATGGCCTCAGATGTGTTATTTTAAAAAATAAGTATGTTCCATGGTGCTGTAAACGTAGATGGCACTTTACAATTTACAATTGAGTTTATGTGCAATGTATTATTCATTGATTTATTAAAAACTATGATATACAGATATTACAGCATATTCTTACCTCTACAAGAAGATCCACAACATCTGTGGGCATTTTATCTATTAGTATTTCGATGACTCTTAGGATCTCTCCTTTAGCCCGAGCAAGAGCTGTGGTGTGAATATTCTGTTGAGACTGAGTGTTTGCTGCCAGTGCAGTGTGTCTATGCACCTACAAAAGGAATAGGATTATATATTTAATTACTGTTGTCCACATATGTTTCAACTATACTTAGCATGAGCTTTCCATGTTAGTTTCTTAATACCAGATCAGGTTCCAACATTTCTACTGTCTCTAGCAGCGGTGAGAGGAGTCCAAGTGTTCATATGGGCTACTGCAGTTCTACATTGTCACATCTCTTCTTCAATGTGTACATAAAGCCAATTAAGGAGGTTAAGTAAAGAGGCTGGGCTGGTGATTATTTCTGTTTGCTAATCACACCTAACTCTGTGTCTGCACCTCTGACTTGGCTGGCACAGTGGAATAATTAGCCCACTGTCTAAGATTGAGGCATGGATGAAGACTGAGGTACTGTCACTAGTCTGAGGGAAGAAACCAGAGGAATTACAAATTACAAATTAATTATGCAAAATTACATTGTTCCACATCATTCACTAGGAATGAAGACATCTGATGACCAATCCAAAAATATAATTTGTGAAATATTCAGAAAAGAAACAGCTTTTGTTTGAGGTTTAAGGACAAATGTTCAACATTTGGACTAAAATATTACATTAAGAACATCTGTATTTTGCAGAACTCATTTGAACCACAGAATCATAGGGACCTTGAGAGGCCATCTACTCCAGTCCCCTGCACTCGTGGCAGGACTAAGTATTATCTAGACCATCCCTGACAGGTGTTTGTCTAACCTGCTCTTAAAAATCTCCTGTGAGGGGGATTCCACAATATTTATTCCAATGTTTACCCACCCTGCCATTAGGAAACTTTTTGTCCTATCTTCAGGAGTTAAGAAAAACACATTTTTCCCCTCCTCCTTGTAACAATCTTTTACATACTTGAAAACCATTATGTCCCCTCTCAGTCTTCTCTTTTCCAGACTAATCAAACCCAATTTTTTCAATCTTCCCTCATAGGTCATGTTTTCTAGACCTTTAATCATTTTTGTCGCTCTTCTCTGGACTCTCTCCAATTTGTCCACACCTTTCCTGAAATGTGGTGCCAGGAACTGGACACAAAACTCCAGTTGAGGCCTAATCAGAGCAGAGTAAAGTGGAAGAATTACTTCTCGTGTCTTGCTTATAACACTCCTGCTAATACATCCCAGAATGATGTTTGCTTTTTTTGCAACAGCATTACACTGTTGACTCAGATTTAGCTTGTGATCCACTATGACCCCAGATCCATTTCCGCAGTACTCCTTCCTAGACAGTCTCTTCCCATTCTGTATGTGTGCAACTGATTGTTCCTTCCTAAGTGGGGTACTTTGCATTTGTCCTTCTTGAATTTCATTCTATTTACTTCAGACCATTTCTCCAGTTTGTCCAGCTCATTTTGAATTTTAATCCTAACCTCCAAAGCACTTGCAACCCCTCCTAGCTTGGTATTGTCTACAAACGTTATAAGTGTACTCTCTATGCCATTATCTAAATTATTGATGAAGATACTGAACCAAATTGGACCCAAAACTGATCCCTGTGGGACCCCACTTACTATGCCCTTCCAGCTTGACCGTGGCCTTTGAATGTAGCCTTTGAATATATTTTAATTATTATTCTGCATACACTCTTTAAAATGTTGGTCCACTTTCTTTACTGATCCTCACTTTCACAAAAAGGGAGGGTCAGGGTGAATAAATGGCCCATCTTGGACTTAATGATATATAATACCAAATATTATTTTGGACATTTAAAGGCCCATCACGGTCTACCTCCTTGCCAGCCTTCTTTTGCCAACCCGATGTTTAGGTACACTCACACATAATCAGACCTGCAGAGGCTGCAGCTGCGTCTAAAATCAGATGCACTAAGGAGATGGGAGAATGACTGGGGTAGAAAGGGGATCCTAGGTTCTATGCTATGCCCAAAGAACCTAGGACTGGATTGGGGAGGACCCAGAAGAAACACCCATCACCAAAGACGGGTGGGATGATGAAGGATTTTGCCCACTGCTCTATATGTGAATTGGAAGGTTATACACCCAGTACATCAGGACACAACAGGTTAAGCCATTTTCAACTCATCAAGTGACCTGGTGTCGCAGTTATCAAGATATTGCTGCATAATGTGTGTGTTGCATACCACCAAATATTTAAAAATGATAACCCATTTTGTCTCCCCAAAAAAGCTAAATTCTGGGGCAGTGGTAAAGGAGATTTGACAATTTTTTATTTCTGTCTGCTAATACTGGAGCTGAAAAGCATTAATATAAAACCAACCAAAAAGTTTGTTGCACGCTGAGATCATTATTCTTTTGAAAGTGCAGTTCAGTGAACATTGAAGTTTTTCTCACCTCCTTGGCGATAGTTGTTATGAAGGCGGGTGGTCTGGCAGTGGCAATGAGTGAGAGAGCATGTCGTGCAGAGCGGGCGGAGTCAGCTGCTGGACTCAGAGGCAGCCCCATTGTGATGCTAAAGAGGGATCAGACAAAGGGGGGAAAAAGAAAAGAGGCATTAGAAATATAGAGTGAAAAGATTAGACACAGCTTATAATGTCAGTTCAAGGTCAACGGGAGCACTCAAACAGTTAGAATATAATGGACTTCCAACAATGAGCAGTGATTAGGAGTCAGGGTGTTCTGGCATCAAATACAAAATCGAATAATTAACCATGAAGATTGAAAACAGTATGTGCATCTGTCCAAAGTGTTAAAAAGGCCTTGTTAACAAATTATCTAGCTGTAGTACTGAATACGTATCACAAAACCTGGGACAAGGCAAATAAAGAATGTCATACAAAGTATTTTTATATTTTATTGTTTAGCAAAAGTTTAGAAGCAGCTTGAAAATACAGCTTTTGTAGTATTACTATTCAATTCAGCTAAGCACTTTTAACTAGTTGGGAGGAGGGGAAGGAAGAGCTTCTAGAGGCACTGAAAATACTAAATTCATTCAATTTGGTTTCCTGTGTTGAATGAATCACTTTGTTTTAAAATACTGCAAGCGCTACTAAGGCAAAGCTAGACTCACCTATCAGCAACCCCTATTTATGAACATCACAGGCGTGGCAGAAGTTCAACACACTAAGGCAAGATTGCTTTTTCAGAGTATATGCAAATGAGCAGCACTGACTGGTTGGTGACTGATTTTTAGAACAACTTCTCCTCCTTAAAAATCTACATCTTAGCTGTTGTTCCTAATTTGCATTATACAGATATATGAATGCTAAGTGTTAATAAAACTACGATTTTTCATAAAGTAAGTGTCATTTAAGCGCACACTGAGAACAAGAGATGATTTTTGTTACATAAGAAGAGGTGAAATCTACAGCTTTCTCCTCTAGCAATGTGATTTCAGATGCGTTAGTACTTTAAGAGATGCACAGGAGATAAAAATATATTAATTGAAGTCTGTCCAGGACCAATTAAGTAATTTTATCAAGCTTCATCTGTAATTTAAATTATATACGATTTATTTCTAAATACTTAACGCCGAGGACACCCCCAATATGTTAAGTCATGGCTCATTAAAATATTTAATTAACTTATTATAAAGCAATACAAAATTATCACAGTATCTCTTTGGAAATACAACCAGAGGCCCAAGCCTGCAGCCCATACTCATGTGAGCAGTCACACTGCTTTCAATCAGATTACTCACATGAGTAAGGGCTGCAATTGAGTTATGATTGCAATCATTTTACACAACTAATGTCATTATAACTGATTAACAAAAAAACTCCTTTCTAAATCCTTAACATAACAGTCTCGCATTTAAAGATTCTTGGTCGGATTGTAACTGTGCCAGAACTCCACTCAGTGCAGCTGATTGGTGAGGTGGTAAAGGTAGCTGTCATCCACCATTGAGCTTTTCTAATCTCTGGAGTTGCTGGGGGCCAGTTCAGCCTTTAGTGTAAGTTAGAGCGGCCTCAAGACTACTCTAAACTATAGACAGCTGCAATTGTCCTCTGTGGAGCTGTTTCATAGCAGAGACTCTCTCAGTACAGTCACATCCCAGCCATGTCCCTTTCATCCCCTACATACTGCTGAAGTGGCACAAAGCTTATTAGCGGGCAGGATATGGTTCATTTTTGCTGTTCGCTCTGACTGCAAATGAGAGAATGCCGAAGATCATCCTAAACAATTCCATTAACTCTCACATCATTTATATTTTATTCATGTCACATCTTACCAAAGGCACACATTTAGAAATGTTAAGAATTTTAAGACTTGTTTTTTTAAAAAACAGTAGTATATAACATGTTATATGTTTGTACATAACATGCAAAGCCTAGGTAGAGTCCAACTCCACAAGCCTCAAAATGACAGGAAAGAAGGCATCAATACCTTTGTTCAAGCTCCAAAAAATATGCAACTTAGTCTATCAACTTGTTTGGCTCCATCCCAATAATGTCTGAGTCATGATGTTAATGTCTGATATCTTCTGATATGCCAGGCTAAAAGGAGGAATGATTTCTAATTCTCCAAAGGGGTATTTATAGCACAGTTAAAAATGTTCCTGGACCAGATAACATGTTTCTCAATTCTGGTCTTTAAATAAGTATAACTGGGAAGGGGGCTTGGAGCAAATGTACATTTTGAGAGACAGGGAGGGAAGGGATGAAGTGTTATACCAATAAAAACTAGCAGGATCTTATTAAAGGGGACAAGATAAAGATGCCACATTTATTATTAATCTGTAACTATTAGCAAATACCTCAATGCTTATACACATACACTCACACACACACACACACCAAAATGTTCTGCAGCTGCTGGATAGTTACCAGTCCTGATTGTAGTTTGAGTTCGCAGCTTGGGATCGTAGCTCGTGACAGCTAACTGGCCAGGAAAGCTGAGCACGAGGAGGAGCGGGGTCTCTGTCGGGCGCGCACCGATGCTCCTTGATGTTGATAGCAGAACGTTACCCAAAGTCTCTCATCTCACCCTTCCTTTTTTATAGGAGTTTAGTTTGGATTCAAAGTTCCTAGGTCTTGCTGTGTCACGCCGCCTCTGGGTTTGGTGCTTGATCACCTGTCAATTGCAGGCGTGACTGTCAGCCTGGGACCTGGCTTTGATCTTCCTTCTGTTGTTTCTTTTTAGGGTGGATGCTTCTTGCTTGAGTTAGGGCTGTTGTCTAGTTCTTCAGCCGTTGGTATTTGAACTTTATCTCATCAGGACGGGCTGGTGCTGGAGGTTGATTCTATTACCCATGCATCCCTCATTCACACATCTCAACTAGACTAATAAAATTACAGCAGGGTTTGCAAAAATGAAGGTTGCAGCAAGCCCTTACAAAATGGAGTAAGCGTTTTAAAATGGGGTTTGAATTACAATATGGCACAGAAGTTACAATGTAGAAAAAATGGCAAGTGTAATGAAAGTTACAATGTAGGCAAAATGGCAGGTGTAATGAAATGGTGAACAGAAGTTACAATGGTACAGGATAACTAAAAACAATTTCATTCACATTGGTTCTACAGAAGTATACCTCTCAACAGCCTAACAAGAGAATGTGTGAGCAAAAGGGGAAAAAAGGATACAAACAATGTGAAATATTATTTCCTCAATGAAGAGAAGATATCTCTTTTTGAACTATGCTTAGGTCAAATATTTCCAATAAAAATAAGATTTAAAAAAAAAATCTATCCTGTTTAATTCTCTCCTCTGCTCATGTTTTATATGGAATATATGCTATGAACTGTGGTATAAAAGCAGCTGGCATGAGTTTGGGATGGCCAATTACTTCTAAGTGACAAAGCCACAAATACATGTGAGTGCCATTTAAACCTTTATTCCACACCACAAAGGGTATGTCTACACCCAGCCGCTAGTTCGGCGGCTGGGAATCGAAGTTCTGGGTTCGACTTATTGCGTCTTGTCTGGACGCGATAAGTCGAACCAGGAAGTGATCGCCGTCGACTGCGGTACTCCAGCTAGATGAGAGGAGTACCGCGGCGTCGACGGGGGAGCCTGCCTGCCGCGTGTGGACCGAGGTAAGTTCGAACTAAGGTACTTCGACTTCAGCTACGTTATTCACGTAGCTGAAGTTGCGTACCTTAGTTCGAATTGGGGGGTAAGTGTAGACCAAGCCTAAGTATATGCCCTAACTTAAGGAATATTTTAGTGGGTTTAAAAAAATTATTGGAACTATTTTTTCATCTGTAAAAGTAGGTGCTTTAGTTATTGAGCGCTCTCTCTCATGTTTTGTGCAGGAAGTGGGTGCCAAGATTGGTGTCAAAATTGTTTCATATTCTTAGTTATTTCCATTTTTTTTATTTTTGAGAAAAAAATGTGTGTTCAGTGGTACAAAGCTCCTCTTGAACTGCACTTAACAACTTCGATGATAACAATGAAGTTTTTTATTTTAGATTTTTGTGTATGGTAAATCTATGATATAACAGGATTGCACACTCTTGTAGCTTATATATGAAAAAGTATGCAAAGACCAGCCAAGCATTGATTAAAGCTTTCTCTGACAAGTGAGCTATTTGAGCCACTGTCAAACTATGTAGCAGCAATACATGGATAAAGGATAAGCATTAGATTCAACAAAAATACATGAGATCTTGCTTATCATTTTTATTCACCTCATCTTCTCTTACTTCATCAATATACACAATAAAATAATGAATATAATAATTAATGTACTTCTCAGAATAGCACTATATAGATGTTCCTGTTACCTTTTATTTGTTATAGCTCTTTGAATAAAACTAAAAATCATTTTGGCATTTTTGCAGACTACTGAGTGATGAAAGCATATCAAAAACTAGATTAACAATCTAATCCTAATGTTGTTATCTAATAACCCTGGTCTGGTGCCTATGTGTATTCATTGAAAACTTCAGAAGCATAGTTCAGCAAGGATTCACATGTTTCTATCAGGAATATTTTTCCTCCCAGTGTTTGGTAAGGCATACATTTTCCTGAAAAGCAACAGGTTTCTTGTTAATTCATTTACAACACTTAGCTGTGGTAGTACGTGGCCAGAGATTAACCCCCTCTCGCAGCTGGTCTGTATGTCTTCTTTCAGAGCTAAAGCTGCATGTGATGGAACGGGCACATTGCACCAAGACCACAGACCAAAACAAAGGCAGATGCAAACCTAGCATTCACAAGAAAGCACCAGGTCTCTTATATCCAGATATATTCTTCTTTAGGGGAATGTCATTCTTTCCACATCCTTAAAATTAGTACAACATGTGTACTATCCTAGCCAGATACAGATTCCGATCACACCTTAAACAGTCATTTGTGTAAACCATAGTGCAGACAAGCTATGGACTTTTACAAAACTGATACTGACCCATCCTACCACAACACATGCCTATCTATTGCCAGTGGCACTAAGGGATCTCAAACTATTCTATTTTTACCCTTTTCCCCCCTCTCAGTAAATTTGATTCAGAGTACAAATATATTGTTTATATTATTTATTTAAATTTATACAATGCATAAAAAAAGCCACCTATTCAGGGCTGCCGGCATGCGTGGCATATGTTAAAAATTCAGTCAAACTGATACGAACAGGAATAAATCCAACAGCCTCCCCCAAACTTGGAAACATCCAGCCAAATAGAAAATACCTATACATTAATATAGTGGGTCAAGATTTATTGCCTGGGTCCCACTGGCAGAAAGTCTGCCTGGAGTTGAGGTTTAGCTGCAGACTTTAGTTGCTAAGCCAGCGGTCAGATGATGGCTGACACAGCCCACAAGTGGGTGGGAAGCGCATCTCCCTCACAGCTTCCACTGACGGGACTTGTGGAGCTCTGGCTAAAGTTTAAAGCTGCTTTCCCATAGGGGAGGCTTCCCAACTTGTGGGAAACTGCCTCTACGGACACAGCTGGTGAATACGGTGGGAACTAATCAAACCCAAACTTGTAAAAAAAATTACACCGTACCCCAAAATAAACATAACAGCAGTATGTGTGGCTGAAGTTCAGATTGCTCACTGTGGGTACACTAGTGGGGAGGGGAGAGATTAGATTCCTTTGGCCTCATCTTCCCATCCAGGAGACCACTATAAATTTGCTGCAAG